ATGTACCGTACGAATTGGCAAGATATCTGTGGACGAGTCACTCGTATTTTAACATCTTGGAGGTATAGAGAATTATCCCTGAAAGGTAGAGTGTTGATTATTAATGCTTTGGTTGCCTCTGTACTATGGTATCCACTTTTGCTTTATTACGCAAGGAGTTTTTTATCATTATATGGGAATACATACATACATACGAAGGGGGACTCAACTTTGTAGATATACGTCTCCCTAAATATATCTATAGATTAAAACTGCTTCAGAATTTCTTATCGAGACAGTGTCTTGATGGTTTAAGTTTGTTATTATATTTTAATTTTGGTCCTTATGGTGATTTTCAACTCGGTACTGGTGTATTTTCATGTCAAATGGTTCCCCGATTGCTGCGCCGTTTACCTCCGTATATCGCTGAGATCTTTAAAGGATGGATAATTTTTCGGATGGGTTTACTTGGAGACCATTAGACGAGATTATGGAAATTTTCGAATTACCTTGTTTCTCAACCCTAATTTAGTGGATAATCGTAGGCGAACATTTCATTTTACTGAATTTGTAGCAGCAGGTATCACGCGTCTTCGTCATTTACATTATGAGGTTATCCCCCGTTTTCTCAGGGAATCGGCGATTATTGAATTGGTATTGACTAATAATAGTGATCTCATCAAGGAATTTGTTGGTAAACGTTTCCGTCAACTTTATTCGGCTCTACCCAAAGATTGGACATCCTGTCTTTCTTCTCGATTACCTTCCGGGGGAAGCTTCCCCACACGTGTTTTGTATTTTACACGTAATAATGGTTTGGATTTTAGTTTATTTCAGGGTCTTTCCTTGCGAAAGATATTTATTGCTTTACAGAATAATTTTCACCCCCCATGTACCGCATTAGTTTAGGAGAAGCTTATGTTCCTTCTGTGGTGTGGATAGAGAAACTATTGCTCATTTGCCGTTACAGTTGATCACCCTTACCTCAGGTGCTAAAATACGGGGTTTGCTTTCCCGCAGTGGCCAGAGCACGAATAGCCTATCGTGTAGCTTTGCGCTAAAACAGCCTGAAGTCAGGACCGCGTTCACGAATCTTCCGTTTCATTTGT